TTTGAGTACTGATTCTCTAGGAAAATTTCACGAGAAACACGATGGCGCAACTGGTTTTTTTTTCTGAAAGCAAAACCAAAGCTCAAAAAAAGCTCTCAAAGTTGAGACCGTAATGGCGGGGATATATCACGCTACCCTGACACTCCACCTCCATATCAAGACAAATGCAAAGATAGGAAGCTACGACATTAACAGGGTTGCCACTTTATTTGAGGACTCCAAAACTGAAAACGAGCCTACCCTGTTAATGTATATGTTTTCTATCTTTGCATAGAGAGTTTCTCTTTATATAGAAGTGGACTCACAAGATAGCGTGGGATATCCCTCCATTGCAGCATCTTCTTTGAGAGTTTTTTTGAGCCTTGGAGTCAATTTCAGAGAGAACCAGAGTTGCACAATCGTGGAAAGTACTAAAATTGCAATTCCTCAAGCATGCAAAAGCTCCGTTGTCTGGCAATACTTTTTTGAAAAACACGATATATGAGCGAAAGTCATGCAACTCTGCAACCGATATATGTTTTCGTGGTTTCATAGTTCGTATGTTTTTAAAGAGTACCATTCCGAATTTGCATTTTTAAATAAAATTTAAAAAGCGAGTCAAAGAGCCGAAACTGAAGTGGACTGCATTTTGCAATTAGGAACCAACTATGTGTGGCTCAATTAAGAAACAACATACGAGGGGCTTGGAGCACAAGGCGCATGAGGGCAGTTTTTGCTATTTCGAAAAATACGTGTTTGAAGTTTCGAAATTCCATGGGTCTTTATGGCGGAAAGAGTTTTCAAACTGACTTTTTGATGCTTAAAAAGTGGAGATTGAGAGCGAATTTATCGCATAATAAGAGTTAAGACTAGTTTTACTTGAAATCATTAATATCTCAATATTTTCAAAAACTGCAATTTTGCGCCTTGTCCTCCAAGCCCCTCATACGTGCCATTTTATTTCCTCTTGAAGTTTCGAAAAATAATATCCATCTTTTCAGTTAAACCTGTTTTCCACGTATCGCGAAGCCTGAGATTGGTACGCGGAACCAGAGAATCGAGCAACAGCACTTGACATATTTCACCCCTAATAATGATCAGATCACCCTCAGAATTGACTTTTACAGTTGCAGAAGAATTATTTACGATTCCTCGAACAAAATGACACGTAATTTTTTGAGAGTAATTCTGACTAAATGGATGAATTTAACCAGATTCAACTTATTACAAGAAACTTTGCTTAATTTGATTGACCTAATCATCCATCTCCTCTCTTCACCTTAACTCATTTCAAAAGTCCTTCCAATTAAAGTATCAGAAACAAAACACAAGAAAATTGAAAACCCAAGGCTCAAAACAAACAGAATGCCTACGACGCTTCGGGGTGGTTTCAACCCCCTTCTAGGCAAGGAAACCCCAAAAATGGATTTGACTAGGATTCCACGACATTGCATCGGCATCGGCAACTCAAGAGGTACCTTTCGTTTCTTATTAATTACATCATTTAACAGCACGAAAGGAAGGACGAAGGATAAAGTTAATCAAGCACATGACTGAATTCTCATTAATTTTGTCTCATCCGGCCGACTAACACAAAATTTCAACAATCAGGCTGCTAAGGGGTTTTTTGATTTTTGTATTTTTGTTTCATGGTCGAGGAGAGGGTTGAAACCACCCTGAAACGTCCCAGGCGTTCTGTTTGTTTTTACCCTAATTGGACGTACTTCTATGAAACGGAACTAATGTGCATTATGACGTGAGCCCTGTTAAGCACATATTCCAATGGGTCTCAGGACTCCTTAATACACATAGTTCCGTTTCATAGAAATACGTCCAATTGGTGTCCGATTTTCTCGTGTTTCGTTTTGTAAAATTATCCGGGTTGTTTTTGTACATCATAGTTGAAGAATCAGACTAATGGTACATCGGTGACTAGTAGAATGGCTAGACTCACCCCTTTCATGGAAAGTGGCTTAAAAATCACACTGGTAAAAGTTCAGGAGGGGCTAATCCTACCCGGCACGTGCCTTTGCCGGCCGCCTCCCTGGCTTCGGTCCAGCCTTGATTCTCTGTGGAGCGCTGAACTTTTGCCACTGCCATGTCGCGCCGCACAGTGGATCGAGTCAATAGGAGAATTCGGACAAAATTTGGAAACTTCAAACACTTATAACTCCGTTTTTACAAAACTTTGAGGTTCTAAAAGTGGTTCCACTGGTTTTCTCGTGAAATTTTCTTGCAGAAGCACCCCATAAAGTTTAAAATGTAACGAATTAGACACAAAAATTTGCAGTTTTAGCCAAACAATGCATGTCCGACCTCTCTAATTGAATCTATCCACTGTGCGCCGTATCACCACACTGTGCCGTAGCGGGCAGCGACCCTCCCTAGCCCCTTTCACCAGTTTCAACTGGATTTTAAGTTCCCTCATGGCTGGGAAACGTAGGGGTCGTAAACATCCACCCTACGCTGCGACTCTGCGAGATAAAACTTTATTATTAAAACTCCTGTTGCTCTCCTCGGAGTTTTTGCTACAAATGAAACGGCCTTTCTGTTTAATTGTAGGACGAGAATTGAAGCATCGCAAGACGTATATCTTGATCGAAAGTTTAAGCAAAATAAGCTTCATTGTATATAAAAGGAACACTGGATCAAACACATTGGATCTAGAGTCCAGACTCTTGAAAACATTGACGAAAAAAAGGACTCTTGATTCAATCAGATTTAAGCTTAAATCAAGAACCAAGCCTTTTAATTTGAGCGGATTTCCTTTTGATTTAAGCTTAAATCTGATTGAATCAAGAGTCATTTTTTTGTCAATGTTTTCAGGAGTCTGGACTCTAGATCCAATGTGTTTTTTTCCAGTGAATGCTAGATTTAATCGTATTCACAGCCGTTTTCGCGCCCATCAAGAAATGCAGTTGAATTCGTCATCTTTATACATAGCAGAGACCACTTAAATATTGAAAATTGAGCTTTAAAAACAGAAAAAAATTGAGTCCTAGCATGGCTAAAGATAAGAGAGACGTACTCTGGCCTCGTTTTTCTACTTTCCACGCAAATTTGAGCGACACCTCATCCGCAGCATAGAGAGAAGCATTGCGAGCACAGGTCTGGCGCCAGCGCGTCTTCAATTTTGCGGACGCAACACGGACATCCATCGAGCACGAATAGTTGTATCTCTGCGCCGTCATCAACGCGCATTCTTTCCCTAACTATTTTTCCATATTGTGTTGGTTTCCGTTAGTAATCGGGCTTCGTTTATTAACTTCTCACCCGACTCTGAGCGGCACCTGATAAGTAACGTAGAGTGGAGAACAATTTTTTCACCTCACGTTACTAGAAATTGATATTTTCCGCGGGAGAATGAAATCGTTACGCGAGCTTTGGGATATCAAGACTCAGGGGCTCAAATAGGACTCGTGCATTTCCCCCTCTGTCATTCGTTGTAAAAGCATTCAACTATTTGTTTGCTTGTTGACAACAGAAAACTTTTTAGAGGTCGGGCTCCACATCTTATGATCGCTTCGGAGGGGAAAGCGGGGGGCGACCCATTTTTTTTTTCGACCGGCACCTCTGAAAGTGCAATACATTCTCAAAAAGTTTTAGTTTGATTTATACAGTAAAGTTTAAGTTTAGTTTTATTGTCGATGAGTTACGAAAGGAATGTATCATATTTCCTTTGTTTTTAAAAATCTTTTCAAGTAATGAAATGAAAGAGATGAAAATATACAATTTTGCCGAATTCTTTCTTAAAATTTGCAATTTAAGCATCAAGTGTGGAAAACCCGTCAGCTTTAATAGGAATGGAACCAACGAGGACTTGACATTCCCACCGATAATTTTTGTTAACGGCAAGCGATTTATTCATGTTGAGCATTTCAGACCCGTGTTTCTCCTTCCTACGAAAAAACTGTTTCCTTTTCTAACATTTGAACTCCTCGTCCGTCAATTTACAAAGTGGGCAAATAAAGAAAAGCGGATGGTTTTCATTTCTGCTGAATGAATATTTTACGCGGAGCACTTAATTCAAAGAGTCTGAAGGCGAAGGGTAGTGGGCTAAACGAACCGATACTGCATCAAGAGCAAGATAATCTAACTGACGATCCAGCTAAACTTCAATGTGATTTTTAATTTTTGATGACGTATACAATTTATTCGTGTCTCGAGGGAATAGTAAAAGATGACACTGCTGTGTGCTGTCTAGCCTAGAGAAAAGTGTTCATTTAACTTAAAGATGTGAGAGAAATTTTTACTAGTGTTGGTTACATCTCCACATCTGCGAATAAAATATATTATTTCTTCTTAGAAAAAACCTATTAATACTAAAACAATTTTTTTTGAAGGAAGAATTTCAGGCTAGCATTTTGGCGGTATAACATTTTGATTTTTATATAAGAGGATAATTGTATGTATTTTTTTTTTTTTTAATTTAGAATCAAAATTAGTATTGAGAAAACATAGTACAGGAAATAGGATATAAACTAGGTACATCCTATATATACAGTGAGGCTCTAGGATTCGGTCTGAGGTCTAATTAGAGAAAAAATGTATGGACTTATTTTCTAACTTCATTTTTTATTATCATCAGGCGGCGCATCCTCTTATATGTATTTTCTCAGCCAAAGACAGTACAATAGTCTTGAGTAAATAAAAAAAAAATGCATCCTCAACATTTTAGTAATTTTTTTCAAGTTGATATATTATTTATGAGCCCATTTTCTGATAAGAAGAGGGGAGCAAAAAAAAAAACAAAATATGTATAAAATTTGATACGGCTCTGTGAAATATACTTGCCACACGAGCTTACTTTAAAATGATTGAACACAATTTTTTCCCTGAAGTACAATTGCGCGGAATTTTTCCCCGTTTTTTTTTACGGGTGATGGGTGGTTGCACTCAATGAGCAGATGTTGCCGCTAAACATACACCATTTCCCGATAGCTAATGAAAGGTAGTGAGCAAACCTAAAACCCAGGCAAAAGAATCCATCAATTTAAACGAACGTAACACACAGTGCTTACCTTATGAACAAAATGCAACATATTAAAATCGACAAAACACACGACGACACCAAAATTTTGCAGGCATGTCGGCTAGTTGGCAGCCGCTGGCCGACTTGGGCAGTTGGGCCTCAAATAGACCGCATCGGACGGACAAGAACGACACTCAATTGCAACACAGAACACGAGTAAATGCTGTGTCGGTTACTTACTTACGTTCAGATCCAACACGACATTGGGGCACGGAAAACCAACGATCTGAGATTTACAGTTCGAACTTGTGTTTTGATTTCGAGTCAATTCCGACCGCTGTTCGCACGCACAAGGATATTGATTCGCGGGCGGGCAGCGCTAGCGCTCCTCGTGGTCGAGAGGTGAGGCGGCGCGGCGACTGCGTGTTGCGTTTCCGGAGATTGCCGGCGCAACTCCCGAGCCGTGCCCCGCAACGAATTTTTATGTATTTTTTCGCGGTATTAATGTCCTAACTTGACATGAGTTATTGCGATTGGTTTTCTCTGCGAGCCATTCAGATATTCCTTAACGTGCTTTGGAGGGGGGTTAGGTGAGGAGCGGGTCAAACCAATTACTATGAGCAGAAAGTAAACAAGGAGAGGAAACTATTTTCTCTAAAAGAATAGGAAACCTGCGGAAACCGAAGATATTTTCGGATGGAAATTTTAAGGAGGGGGGGATGGTCCAGTTTTATATCGAAGGCCAAATAAGCCGAAAAAATGTCTCCGACTGCGTCATTCAAAAGCTCCGGTTATGTTTTATTTTTTTTTTTTTTAAATTTTACCTCACTTTTTCAATCGTGTATTGTTTAACCAAAAATATTATGAGACTAACGCAGAACGACATTCTTTATAACCGGCAAAAGTGCGAAACCATGTATCTATATCTCAGTGATTCAAGTTTCCGTTCCTATTTGCTTTTTACGAGGCGAAATACGTTAACTTTAAAGTAGAAACATCGTGGAAGTTGCCAAGAGACTACGTTGACTAGTTTTCCCAAGAAAAAATAATATGCGACAGGGAGTCTGCAGCGTCGCGAACGGAGGTGTGTGGTTTCGCATTTCGGCCATCTATTTATTTTTATTTATTTTGCTAAGAACAGCCCCAACCTGACATTTCATGAGAGTTACCAAAAAAGTAAGTTGCCCTATTTTAAATCCACCAAACCAAAAGATAACAGATTTGTTAACAACAAACCAAACCAAAGAATGCTTTGAAACTTTCTCCGCATTTTCTTAGGATCGTAAAAATTTACTCATAAAATATCACGCCGGAATGTTGATTAATGTTCCGTAGAAAGAATAAAAACATGAAAGGAAATTAAGAAATTTACTGTCGCTTGTCTGACGCACGGCCGTATCTTGTTTTCTTTCAATCTTGACTGATTTTTCATCTCTATGGAAATGTTAAGCAATAGTACCTAAAGGTTCATTGTAGTTCTAATAAAATAAAACGAGAGCGGAGATTTTGAAATACCTCAATTCATAGTTTCCTGGACGCGGGAACGTAATTCTATTCCAAGGTTGCAAAGTCGACTGAAACGATTCAAGTTTCTCACAAACATGTACCTGGATGTACAATTTCGTCCAAACATTTTTTATGATTTTTGCATGAGATAAGAGGAAAAATTGGAAAAATGTTCAGTTTAAAAGTCTTAAGATTCTTCCTGTAGAAATTCAATTTGCCAGGGGCAATTTGGCAACACTGAAATATAGTTACGTGCTTTCGTGAGGGAATGACAAATTGAGATGCACGTTTTTGCTGTTTCTCCGTCGATATTTCAACTCACACGCAACTCAAATTCTTTGACTTTAGTGCAGAAGTAGCACCATCTTTGACCCGCCTCTGCCCACATTATAACGGTTTTATTTCTCTTTAAAATCATGAGTCGGAATCAAAAGTAAGTAAATAGAAGGGCATGAAGGAAACACACGGCGGATTAGTGAAAGCACTGCAAAAAAAGGCCGGATCAATAAACAACAAGATTGAGAGTTACTATGTGCCATATAAGTCAACAGTCATAGAAATTCCTCGCACAATCAAGTCTAACGTCAAATGGAACATATCACATACGAAAGCTTTTAAGTCTAAGTAAGGATATGGTTCCTTCCGTAAGTCTTGACTACCATCTTTTCATTCGTTTCAGCTGTTTCTTTCCGTGGCTTTCTTTCACTTTCTATTTCCTCTGACATTGAATGGAGGAAAGTTAAGTTTGTAAAAATACGGGCGCCTGGATTTCAGTTTTCCTTCAAATGGATGATTATACAATTTGAGCTACGGAGTGAAAAAAAAGAGTGCAAAGAACTAAAATTTCTGGCGGTCTTGGATTGGTAGCTTTACGTGTATTTTGAGCCGCTAAATTTGATTAAATTCGCCGTATTTTCCCCCATGACTCTCATGTTTAGCTTCTCACTAAACACTTCTTCCAACTGCTCCAAGTCCCCAAAATGTTTTTAAATAAAGAGTCTCTTAATTTAAGATGTCAAAATAATGAGAGGGTAAGGACAAGAGATACATCTTGCTTGAGCTGTTTATTCAATAAATTACTTGATGTGAATAAAAAATCAACAATAAATAAAATAATGACTATAAAAACTACACACTACTGCTATAATTATAAATAAGAGACACAAAAAATCAATACTTTTGATACAATTGACTGTACGATAAATGAAATGATCTACTATTTTCCAAATTGATCAGTGGGATTGTCGTTCGGCTTAACACCACGTACGAAAAACACTCCATTTCAAGCGCTCAACAGGATTACTATAGTCTATCTATAACCTACCTTTTGATTTTGAAATTACAGAACTAGTATAGGCACCATCGAAACTTAAAAATAAGTAAATCCAAAAATACTGGAATCAGCAATGAGAACTATTGTAGTTGCCGTTCTAAGCATAGCTTATAAATTGGAGGTGTCTACTCAGAGGTATTTTATTCACCAAACGATTTTACGGTCAATCAAGTAAAGATGTATACTATAGCTAAGAGTTTATCTCTTTTGGAGCGATAAATCAATTTTAAAGACTCCTAGTCAATTTGACTTACTTTCACACTTGGCACAATAATTACATATGCAACAATATTTACAGGAGATGTTTGTGCTACAGCACAATAAACACATTGCTCAAAGTTAAATTGATCCAGTCTTTGCGTCTTTAAAAGTCTAAAACCTTACGTCTCTTTAGACAGTATTCCGTGCTGGCTCAAGATTGAACGGAAATTCTCTCCGAAATCACAACTCTCACCATTCTCACTTCGGGAGTAGAACTTTCCGATCAACACTTCTCTTCATTGGACTTTATATTCCAATTAGAAACTACAATTTCTGGTTCAGTTAAGGAACAGCGTATGCACCATTAGTTCCCCTATGTACATAAGCGTTTTCACGAATGAGCCAGAGATTGCAATTCCTTATTGCAAAACTGAAGTCCAATTTTTGAGCCCTTGGATTAACAAGTATTCGCTGTTCCTAAGGCTAGCATATTCCGACGCTTTTGAACCCTCTAATGGAAACAAAAAATAAATACACAATTTTTCTTTATTTATGAGGTTTTACAAGGAGACGCAGTTTTCTAAGACCTAAAAAACCCCTCTTCTTCTCTTTGATCGGCCCCAAGAGCAAATCAAGTATTAATTTTTAATGTTAAGATTATTTATGAGCGGAATCTTGCTGAAATATTAATGATGGTGGAAGATAAAGACTTGAAATCGTCGTTACCAACGTTTTGCTTCACATCGCCTACCTTTTGTGAGGCTTCTTTGCGGTGGGTTTGACGCCTCCTTCTCGTAGAGCGTTATAATTATTTATTAATTCATTCATTTTTGTAGATCAACAAGAGCTCAATGTACTCTCGGCAGAAGAAAACATGAGACAAAAGATGTAGGTACCTAAATAAATTATAGAGGTATCAGTGAATAGTGTGAAGCGTTAGCACGGGGAGAATCATTCACTTTGGACAGATTTAAGCAAGGAAGCCATACCTACATGTAGAGTTTGAAAAATATGTCGGTCTGCGTTCTGGCCAAAAGGGTGGGGAAGAGCATACCTACGGTTCACTTCTTTTGCCGTAAACCTGGTACTCTCCCAGAGACAAGGTACCCTCCATTCGTATCTCAGCTATGATGGAAGCTTTTATTTTCGGGACTTCAACATTAAAGTGTTGACTTACCTACATGGTCGATGTTCAACAACGTGTTAGAAGTTTCGTTTTGCAAACAAGCCGAAGCTTGGGAAACTTGTTTGGATCATGACGTCACCCGAAGCTCATCCCACCATGTGGGTAGGTCAAAAGCCGAAAAAAGAGTGATGACTGTTGCTCCCTTGTAATTGTCCATAAGGAAGTGTTAGAATCCCCGAATGTAAAAGCTTCCACCTGTCGCCAAGAGGCCAGCGGGCTGATTATTGAAATTGACAGACAAAGCGATAAACAACGACGACAAACTGAAAATTAAGCGATCCTATTGGTGGAAGCGCGTGGCTACAATGGACAAAGGAGGTAAAGACTAACTATCGGCAACTCACGAGGGCCCCTACAGTTTATCCATCATTTTCCCCCTTAGTCATTGAGGTGATTCGTCAAGCTCAAGTGACGTGCTCGAACTGGCGTGCGATGTATCGCAATGATTAGGTAAAAAATCTCGGCAGATTTTGAATTTTTAGCCAAACAAAGGACGATAGCCCCTGCGCAAGAGCCTAAAGGATCATTCTAAACCCAAAAATCGGCAAAATTCAGAGAAATTAAAGCAGAATAGTGTTTGGGAAAAACCTCCCATTCGATACAGAAATCGATAGCTGAATCGAATGCGAGGTGTTATACCAAACACTATTCTGCTTTCATTTCTCTGAATTTTGCAAATTTTTGGGTTTAGAATGATTTTTTATGCTCATGCGCCGGGGCTATCGTCCTTTTTTTTTTTGCTAAAATTTCAAAACCTGCCGAGATGTTTTACCTAATCGATGCGATATATGGCATGCAAGTTCGACCACGTCAATTGAGCTTGACGAATCACCTTAACAACCGTCCGCTTTAACCGATAGAATCGCTCCATACTCCCTATGTCTTCTTCCTCTATAGCTTTGTCTATCAACTTCAACAATCAGCCCGCAGTAGAGGGTCTTGTCTTTGTTACTCCCCCCATAGAGGTACTCTACCTTCCTCTAGTTCATGTCGTGATGAGTCTTGACTCATTCTATGGTGAGCTTGATCCTAGAGCTGGGAACATGGATATGCAATTCCTGGCTTAAGCCGGTCCGTCTTCGGAATGGGGGTGGTATGGGTCAGTGCTTGTAGGAGGGTCCGTAAGTGTAGTGGCCCAAATCGGGGTTGTTGCCCTGAGCGGGGCCGGCGCCGGGGCCGGGGGCGGGGGCGTTGCCTTGGTCGTAGCGGTAGCCGGCGTAGGTCCCGAGGCCGCCGTCCTCGACGATGTCGCTGGAGCTGTCGTGGTCGTAGCCGGAGCCGCCGCCCCAGCCCACCCCGGAGGACTCCACCGGCGCCAGCTTCCCCCCGTGGTACCCGTGCGCCTTCACCGCGTGCTTCTGCCGCAGCATCATCACGAACTGCGCCACCTGGAACCCAACAAAACCCGCGTCACACCACCAAACTCCGTAAATCCCAGTTATCTAGGTAATTGTCAGGGACTGATAGAGACCCTTTCCTGTTTTCCCTTCTTAGGCCTTGTCTCCACGGGCGTTTTCATGGGATTTGTCCCAAATTCGAAATGCAGGAATGAAACTTCTGGGATTTTTCCCAGTTACCGTCTCCACGGGACGGGGCTCATACAGTCCTGCGACTAGTTTGTGCGGGAAGATAAATTAGTTAGAGTCGAGTATTTAACCGGGATTAAAATAATAATTGCACTCAATTGACAATTAGACACATTATTTCAACTAAACAAACATGAACAATGTAGTAATGAATAAAATATCGCACAGTTCGTTTTCACTTCTTCTTCTTCTCTCAGTGGGTCCTAGGGGTACAAGTGCCATACTTGGTACTGAGAAAAATATTGATTAACTCAATATTTTTCCCAACTTCGTAGGGGGGATTTTTCCCTGGGACAAATCTCGTGAAACGGCTCGTGGAGACAAGGCCTTAAGGAAAAACGCCGTATGAACACTTGAGAGTTCCCAAAAAATTTCCTTCGATAAAATGTTTATGTTTAAAAGTAATGAGCTTATTTGAATGACATCGTGCACGATATCAGGTCCAAGCAGTTGGTCTGGTATGGACATGTGTGAAGGATGGTAGACGATCAGTTGCCCAAGCGGGTTTTCGATTAAGTTCCTCCCGGAAGGCGATGGCGTGGACGTCCTGTGAAAGGTTGGAAACAAGGAGTGGAGGAGGAGATCAGAAGGTGTCAATTGCCTGATAGTCTCTGGGAGGATAGGGGGCAATGGCGATTGGGCGTCGCAGAGCGCGAGGCTGCTCTGTGGAAGCGGCTTTATGTATGTACGAACTTTTTTCCTTGAAATTTTAAGGAGCGTTAGAGAAAATTGCTAAGTAAATTATCTGTAAAATGGGAGGAGAAATGTTCATAAGTTTACCTAGAAATTCTTGTTTTATTGAAGGAAATTTGGCTACGTCTGAAGGTTCATACGGCGTTCTTCTTTAGCACGGCAGCGTCATGGGGTCTTCCCTAAAGTATGTAACGCTC